CGAGAACTACCCAAGTCACACCTGAAGAATCTCTGAAGAAGTCCTGCCTGGCTAGCAGCTGAAAGCCTCCACCAATAGGCCCCTAAGTAGTTCCTTTTTGGGATTACCTTATAGGATTCTAAATACAAAAAAAGAACTACTTGGGGGCCTATGGGTAGGGAGACTGAGGCCTTCGAAGCGGCCGCAACGAGGAGAGGAGAAGGTGAACATCGCGGATGCTTCCCCGAATCAGGAGCCAACTGGGAGACCCATACCGCGAAGGTTTCTAGGGTGATAAGGGTTCAAAGGTTAAGCCCTAAACCCTAAACCCTTAAACCCTAAACCCTAAAGTCTTAAGATTGCTGCTTCAAGTTTCGAGCTTAGCTTTGCGTCTTCGCGCTTCGAAAGGCGCGAATCAAACCCCGTTCCCACGAACTCATCCCTGGCAGAAAGCCACCAAAGCCCCCCCCGGACAATCCCAGAACCCTAAACCCTAAACCCTTATAAACTCTAAATCCTAAACCCTAAACCCCTAAACCCTAAACCCCAAAAACCTTACAGAGCCCTTTTTTGGGAGCCTGGCAGGAACCTCCTATAAGGCCCCTCTGAACCCCGAAGCCTGAACCCGTAAACCTAAACCCTGATCCCTTTAGCTTGGATCTTGCCCCCCTTACAATAGGTTTTAGGGTTTAGGGGTTTAGTTTTTTTTTTTTAGGGTTTTTTTTTGGGGGTTTAGGGTTTAGGGTTTAGGGCTTAGGGTTTAGGGGTTTAGGGGTTTAGGGTTTAGGTTGGGTACTGCCCCCATACAGCTAACAGTCTATAATAGGGCTACTATTATCCGGGCCTGTTATATATCCATATTATGAATATTACCCAACTGATAATGAGGCTACTGTTAAGGGCCTTATATATCCATATTATGAATATTGCCCAACTGATCATAGGGCTACTATTATAGGGGCCCGTTATATGCCCATATTATGAATAGTACCCAACTGTTGTTAAGGTTGGGGGGGGCAGCAACCCTAAACTCTAAACCCTAAACCCTAAAACCTGACAGAGCCCTGTTTAGGAGCCTTGCAGGGACTTCCTAAGGTCTCTGGGGGCAGTATCCAACCTTTCGCCCACAAACCTTTGGCCTTGACGACGTCGGCCGCCTGCGGCACAGAGGCCAGGAAGACTTGCTGTGCTGAGCGCACCTGACTCTGGGTTTGGGGTTCGGGTTTAGGGTGTATAGTCTTTTTGGTGCTTATGATTTATAAGCCTTATGTACTGGATTCTATATGGAGTTCTATAAAGGAATGAGAGCCTTATTTACTGGTATCTGTAAGATTTTTATAGAGGAATGAGACTCTGGGTTTGGGGTTGAGGGTTTAGGATTCCATCCACGGGCTCCTGACTGCTTGCTATATAAGGATTCTGCAAGGGTTTCGTATCAAGGAGTAAACAAAGGTGTTCTGCAAGAGCTTCCATAAGGGGGCTCTGGAGCTGGGGAATCTATGGGTCTTGATTTTCTAAGAATACTTCTGCAATATGTACGTGGACTCCTCGGGATGCACTCCGTGCATAAGTTTAGAGATCGTTTGAGGCCAAAAGCTGCTACTGTGAAAGGTTTGGGTCTACAGGTGGTGGGTTCTGCACGTGCCTTGCAGGTGTTGCAGACGCTCTGTAGTCGTGTCTTGCCCCAGGAGCATATGACGTATTATATTTCGGGCTGTTAAAGGTGCGGTTGCTATTCGGTTCGTCGACATGAAGCGGCTCTAGAACTAGATCTGAGCAAACCTTAGAATCGGTTCGGGTCTGGGGCCTAGGCTTTAGAGTTTTGGGCTCAGGGTTTCGTGTTTAGCGCATATAGGGTGATGCACATGGACGACCACTAGCACATGTCCATGTTATACTGCTGCAACGACGACAACTACTCCTCCTACTACCACGACTTGACTAGCCTTTGGCAGTTGTAAGTTGCACTTCTATCATACCCTTGCCGGATGGTTGCTGTCGTTTCTGAATACTAGGCAAATGGTGAACATGTCGCTTCCGAGTAGTTTTCAAGCGTCGTAGCTCTGTTTCTCTTCTTGCTTGCGTTCCGAACAACTTTCCTGTGGCGGGTCGCATGGTTCAACAGCGCGACAGCCTAGAGAATAGTGGGCGGCGGACACATAATTTTTGGCATCACCCTGAATCTTGTAGGCTATCGGATCACCAGATCGGCGTCAACCCTAAACCCCTAAACCCTAAACCCCAAAACCCCCTAAGCCCCAAAACCCTAAACCCCCTAAACCCCTAAACCCCTAAACCCCCTAAAACCCCTAAACCCCCAAACCCCCAAACCAAGCCCAAGCACGTCACAGGCCGCGGGCAGCCGCTCGCATGCGCCGATTCGCTCCGAGTCCTGGGCGTATCTTGCGAGAACCGCAGCGGCCACGCTTGGGGTTTTAAGGGTTTTTAGGGGTTTAGGGGTGTAGGGTTTAGGGGTTTAGGGTAGGCTTGACTGCCAAAACCTTTGTAGCCGGTCATCAAAAACAAAAATGTGTTCAATGCAAATTCTGACCTTGTTAGGGGTGCCCTTGTTCATAACTTATACTCAGCTTAAAAAAAGGGGCCAAAGAAGCGTACTGCTGGGGACTCGGTCTTGCTGCTGCATACAGTGCACTTGAGTCCAGCCGACCCAGTCTATTCGCGGGGTAGGTTCAAGTCATGGAAGCTACAGGTACTCTGTTCGCAATTATAGCACGAGATCCACCACTTTTACCTTACTACCTACTATGTGCCAGATATAGCTAAGGCTCGGGGGTTTAGGGCTTCAGGTCTTGAGATCGGAGTCTTGGCATTGTGTGGCTTTTGGGCATGCTTCAACCCTCACGAATCACATGCCCTCGGAAGTCTGTGTGCCTGCAGTTTGTACCCCCAACCTTTCTTGTCGGATTCATATGATTCCCAAGTAAAGCAACCTGAACCCTTGACATCCTGGGCCATCAAAACATAGAGACTGACGGAAGCTTCATCTGATCCTGAAGGTGTTCTGCAATCCTGCACTTGCAAACCCCACAGGAAACAGTAGATGACCAAGGTTCGACAAAAAGCAGCGTGAGCAAATCCTTAGGCTCCTGTGTTCACTACATCCGGAATGCACTGCTACATCGTTTGCCCATGCATGTTTGAACTACATTCCACCAACCTTGAATCCTAAGGCCCGAGCTATCCATCTCTTTGCAGTCTTTGCACCCTAAACCACAAAAGGCCCCTTCAAACTATCCCCTTAACCCCGAACCCTTTCACTAATCCCGAAGACTCACAGACTCAACTTCCAATCGGGGACCAAATGCTCACTGTCTTCTACACGATAGCTTTGAGACTTGCAAGCAGCACTGGCTTCGGGAAGTTTCTATACTCTGAGGGCTCCCTAAACCCTAAAACCCTAAACCCCTAAACCCTAAACTTCATCTTCCTGCAGCTCAGTCCACCAGCTCACGTGCGTGACGCGCGCGGCTGAGCTTCCGTGAGGTCCAACAGGGTTCACAGCTCGCTTCCGCCTCAAGGGTTTAGGGTTTAGGGTTTAGGGTTGAGGGTTCAGGGGCAATGGACTGCTCTTGGTTTTTCATGCCGCCCTGGAAGGAAAGTGCCTTGTGTGCTGAACCTCAAGCGCATCACAGGCACGACCGCTTGGGTTGGACAGCCTCCTTGCTACCTTGGCAACCCATGGCACCTACGGAAGTGTTGCTCCTTTGGGCCGCAAATGCTGGAGTTCTCAGGTTCGGCGAGCTCATCGCAAAGGGGTGGAATAGCCTGTCCATGAAAAGCCCTCCCCTCTATTTAAACCTTGAACTCTAAACCCTGGAGGTCCTCTGCTATACGAGGCTTTTCTTGCGAAGGCAACGGCTCGGTACGGCCTGAGAGGTTCTGTCACCAAGGAGCCTCAGAATTTGTATTACTAGTCTAGGTATGCATATATATATATATGTAAATAAATATATATTTATTTATTTATCTTTACATATTTATGCCCTTACCATAAACTTGAGCAGGCCTTGGGGCTTTGGCGGTTCTGCAGCTTCGAGTGGGCTTTCCGGGCTTGGGCTGCGCGAAACTTTGGTGGCGAGGGGATCGGGGTTACGTACTTCAGTCTGAGTCTCACGACCATTGCAGAGTAGGCTCCCATATGGCTTATTATACGAGCTTCTGTTGCCGGTAGGTCTCTAAAACACCGGGCGCTGAAGTGAAAGAACCTCGGGCAGGCTGACATCTCACGGCTCGAACCCTTTCCTGCTCTTTGGGAAGGCATTGCCTGAACCTGTGCGTACGGGCACCAAAGCAAACGTGGACACAAACGCATATCTGAAACTACCAATGCAAAATTGACAGAATAGGGAGGCGAGTCCAAGGAAAGGGCTCAGAGCATAGCATTCATTGAAGAGGGGGCATTGGCAGCGGCTATTAGGTGTTCTTCTCCACCTCTAAAGCGGGATCTTCGGGAAGCTACGAAACGGGGCTTGGGGTCAGGCATTCCACCTGTAGGACTTGGGATGTTTGTTGATAGAGTGGCAATTTGTTAAGGTGGACGTCCAAAGGGCAATTCTAGCCAGTGTGGCTTCAGGCTTGGTATCAATCCGTGGGGATTTTGATTTTTCTAAGCAGCTCTTTTGTGAGGGAAGCATCCTAAAGATCCCAAGAGACACCATGCACTCCAATCGAAGGAGGATGGCATCAAATCTAAGGAGGAGCCTCCACGATTCCGAACTCTTCAGAAAAGGGAGAGTCTCCCTCCCATGGAAACCACGGAGAGTTCGCAGAAAAAGGTCGAACTTCAAGAATCTGCGCTCAAGAGCCTTAGGATTGATGGCATACTGTGTATTAGAACTGCCGGTTAAATGGCCTCTGAGCTTCATGGCCTATGCGCCAAATGCAAATTTTATGCGATTCCCTGTGGTACGGTAGCTGTAAACTCCCAGGAGACTGAAAACCTTGTGTCAGGTACATTGGGTACAGTCGGCACAGCACCGGCAAAAGCCAGAGGGTGCGGCGCTCATCGTCAGAATGCTGGAGGCATCCTCAACCGCGTGTTTTCGTTTAGGCTTTGGGGTGTGTTACCGTTTGGGCAGCGACAAGTCCAAGTTTTCGGTGCAGCGGTTCGGGCTTCATCTTCGGTTGCTCAAGGACGGCACCTACTCCTCTTTGACCAGCCTTGGAATCACCGGCAATAGGTAAAACAACAACAACCCCCTCAGTCAATGCGAGCAACTGCCTCATGAAGGCTATGGGATTGCTTCGCGGCTTAAGGGTCGCAGGTTCAAGCACCCCCGAGCCAATATCAGGACCGAAGACAATTATAACCCTTCGGGGTGCTAAATACCACCTTGTTTGGAAGTCCGTTGCCTTGTCGGGATCTGACTTGGTGAGTTTATGCCTGCTATTATTAGCCGGGGAAATAGACAAAACTCGTGTTTCGGCTTGTTGAGCTCAGGGTGGTGTATGGGCTCACCACCAGGCCCTACAAAAAAGACCCAGGAGAGCTGCTTCGAGTCAGCAAGGAAGGGCCGTAGAATGGTACCCCTTCTCGAAAATCACGCTAAATCATCGGTTTCCTTCACTGTTTAGAATGCGAAGTTGGAGCCCTATGCGTCCGCACCCTTGTAGAACCGTGCAAGAAAGCTGGGCGCCCTCATGCAGCTGGCGATCCTTCACTCGGATAGGGAGTGTTTCGGCCATGGTCGAGATGGGCGTGCCCACGCCGGGTATTCCTGGTCCAGGCTTTGTAAAGTTTAGGCGTCAAACAGCACCGGCTGCTCAATTTAAAATTTAGAACATTGTCTTGAAGGCGAGGTCTACTTGTACGGACGGATAGTGCGGTTGGCCAAACAGGTAGCTGCATACACGGTTGCTTGATCAACCAAGCAAACGAGTGTTTACATGGTTTACATGTCTGTACATGCAGCTGCAAACAAACTATGCTGATGCAGGCATCTGGGGCAACCACATATGTGAGAATGTATGCATGCGCAAGTCCACGCACTTGGGCACTAATGCAATCACGCACTCCTCGTACGCAACATTCAATCAAGCACCTATGTCTCTGTCTCTCTCTCTCTCTCTCTCTCCCTTCCCGCCCATCCATCCACATAAAATGTAAATATGAAATAAATTTGAATAGATACATACATACATATATATATATACATATCTATGTCTCTCGCATCAAACCTGTCTGCATGCAGTACTGCACTAGCGCATGTAGCACCATGGCACAGTGAATCGAGCAACAATGGCAGTGGTATTTTGCATCAGCTTTACGTCTGTAGCACAGTTGAAAATGTTTCGGTGCTACTAGACTTCGAATAAAGCCAAACAGCACAATAATCACTGTTGAAAGTTGATACCGTCCCAGAATACGGCACAGTGGAACACAACGAAAGGCAATCTTGCGACTACGACAGACCTTAAACGAGAGCAAGACATGCTAGAAAATATCACACCTATAGTTTCTGGCCCGAAATCGTCTAGCAGCTAGTAGCCACCAGTAGAGTCTATAATGAAGCGAAGTAGTGAAAACTAGGTGTATAGCATAACAAACACCGTATAAGTACCCAAACCAGTGACAAGCTGAGTCAAACTCAACGAATAAAGAGGTGACCGGAGCTCCTTATCGCAAGGTCTGTTCTCGGCCAAGAAAAGGAAGGAGAGACACATGTCATACGAGCAGTCATGCAAAAGCAAGTGCTCTTTATGCAGGGCGTCAAGAACGGAATTAAATTAATTGCCGAGCAACCGTGAAACCTCAGCCCTATCGCGTGCGAGGCAAGATGCGGCAAGGCCCTCTGAACTCAGACTCCACAGTCGTCAAGTTTACATACCAAATCAGAAATCCGAAATCCCAAGGCCGTCAGCCCCAGCCCATACACACCAATGCGAACATGAATAGTCTAAAAACTTAAACCTAACTGTCTCCGCGGCCCAAACGCACTCTTTCTGAGTAATCCCAACAGCCAACACAAGAAGTGCTTGACCACCAAGAATCTTGATACGTCCCCAGGTAGCGCGCGGATGATGAGGTCTTCCTCTGCGACCTTCGCCCACATTCGGAAATCGGTCTCCTTTATGCCGATTTGAAAGCTACTCCGAAGGACCCTATGTGTCCTGAAACGCAAGTAATAAAAGCCTGCAGCGCGAAGGCCGCAGAAGCCTCCAGCCCTCAGCTCCGCCCTATGAGCGGCTTCGTTGAGCGAGGTCCCCCAAGTTGGGAGGGTGGGGTACTTCGAGCTGCGCTCACTGCAGCAGCCATGAGCGTAACAGATCGGCTTTCGCCGATGTCGACAGGCGAGGGGCTCTTGCCCGTCGACCATCCTAGAATCCTAGAATGGAGAACGGGGAGGTAGGGGACAAATCAAGAAGCCACGAACCTGATCATTGACACTGGAAGGTAGATCCCGCTTAGTTTTTTCTATACCCATGCCTTTACCTACACCCGGGGTGTTTACCTGTACCGATACCTATACCTACACCTACACCTGTCTGTCTGTCTGTCTGTCTGTCTGTCCGTCTGTCTGTCTGTCTGTCTGTCTGTCTGTGTCTGTCTGCCTGTCTGCCTGTCTGTCTGTCTGTCTATGTGCCTGTCTTCCGGTCTTCCTATCTTCCTATCTACATATCTATCTACCCATCTACCTATCTACCGGTCTACCTATCTACCGGTCGACTTATGTATCTATCGAGCTGCTTATCGATCTATCCATCCATCGCTATGTTCATCACAACTATAACACCCCCACATATATATATATGTATATGTAAATAAATAAATATATATATATATATATACACATATGTCTGTATATATATATATGTGTGTGTGTGTGTATGTGTATATATATATATATCTTTATTTCTTTGTGATATGAAATGGCAGTTTGCCTGCACCCAATATTCAACTTCGGCTACGTTGTTGCAAAGAAGGCTTTCAGAAAACTTGTGCTCATCAAGATGATCAGAACTGATGGATGTAATATTTCATGTCACGAAAATGTGCACCACGCCCACACTCGCAGCTATCCCCTGTTTCAGCTCAAGCATGTTGCTGTGTTGGCCGATGCTAATACTTCGATAAACCAGCGAAATCTCGCATACTGTCGCACGACGACATGCTGTTTCCTTCGGGGACCATGTCATGTTCACCAGTCTCTAACCACTATATCCCCCCCTTGCCGGCCTGCTCGATGTGCTCGAAGTCCTCACCAAACCGTTCCGCATGTTTCGACAAGTTTGCAGAACCTCATAATCTAGGATCGTCAGTGCCTGGTTCAACCATGGTCTTCTCTTGCTGCCTACATGGTTATAGCATAGCCAATGTGCCCCGAAACTTCGTTGCAATTCCTCCGGCCCCTCTACCGTGCAAGGGCCGGTGATGAGCTTCAGGGCGTTGTGCCGGCATATACATTGCTCATGCTGCAGACTGAGGGAGCGGCAAAAAAGGAAGCAAAGACGGTGTGAATGTGAATAACAGCGGCGCAGCAGCGCATACTTCATGCTTCCATGTGGGGACGTGCGAAGGGATGGGATTTCAGCTTCTTGGTGAGCCCGGCAAGGGCACTTCGGTGGTCTTCTGGCCTCGGCCACATCGCCGGCATCGTCCGTGGATACATTGGACTCCACCTCACTTTGCATGCTCACCCTGCGAGCTTTGGTTCTACAGGACCTCACGACTCGGAATCAGAGTAGGTACGGTCCTTTTGCAAGATATGAGGGACTTCTTTAAAACAGGGGATAATAGAGTGACTCAATCCCGTTTCGGGCATCCTACACCGCTAGCATCACACCATGTCGCAACACCTATCCCCACCTAAGTTTACCATCCTAGGAAAATCCCAATACCCCTAAGTGTCATGGCCCAAAAAAGGGAATGGAGCTCTTGTAAAGTTTGGTTCGGGGTTTAGAGTTAAGCGTTGTACCAAAGCTTAACCTTCTCGGATGCTCCCAGGGCGTGTTCTACCCACGCCCACGGGCGTAGTTTACAGCTCCCTGGAGCGTAGTGAGCTGCAACCTCGGGCGTAGTTTACCATACCCACTACCGTAGTGAACTGCATCTGCTGCTGTAGTTTGGTTTGGGTTTAGAATGACCACCAACCATAACATTATAATATTAATCATGTTATGTTCGTTTAATCCATTGTCCGTCAAAGTTAGTTTAATTCAGCAGGAATCTAAAAAATTTTGAATCCCTGACGATTGTATGTTGATTAAAACCGCGTCTGTTCATCATAGAACGAATAGTATTAGTGTTTTTTAATAGCAATCCTCATCAATCTCTAGGAGTATTTCATACTTTTTTGCCAACTTCTTGAACAGCCTATGCTTAACCAAGTCGTAACTGGGAAAGTTACGTTTAACTGAGAGAATAAGTTTGTCTGAATCATAATGATACACTTCACTTCGTCCGATAATTCCCTTTAGCATTTGGGGCGTTATTCGCAATCATAGCAGCTAGCACCGATAAGCAAAGCCATAATGGATCTTTGGGGGAAAGTGCTTTTTCTGCCTACCAGGGCTTCCATGAGGGCTTCCAGGAGGTCTCTAGGGTCCTCTGTCTGTATTCTGGCTAGCCACAATCACTCCCTGCATCAACCCAACTTCGTCACATTAGCTGAAGGCGAGGGAACTCGAAGCGGTTTAAGTTTCCACAGTTTCCACAACGGCTACGTGCGGATTGCTGAACACTTGTCCTGAACCCGTTTTGGCAGATGCCTCAACTCTAAACCCTCAAATCCCTGAACAATGAACCCTTCCCCACCCCCAAGCCGTAACCCTCCCTGCCAAGCTTCAGTCGGCACCATGTCGATGGGAATGAAGGCCACTGCTTGCGCAGCTTTGTTCTGGCTGTGGGGCTTGGCCACTTTGCAGCCCATCTCGGGAAAAAGGCGTCCCAAAACCGTGCACACGTGGCCCTGATCGGTTGAATTGGAGTTGAGGGTTTGGGGCACTAAGTTGCAATGCACCTGCTATAGTCTTGTCCTGCAAGCCTTTCTTCTGAAGTTCAGCTTGGGAGCATTGTCAGCGTGATCCCGAAAGCTGCAATGGTAATAGTTTTAGATCTATGCGAAAGTTGAGACTAAGAAGCGTACTCGTCGCAATCATAACTCTCGTGATGAAGCATGTCACCGAGTTGTTTGCGCAGCAAAGGCTAAGACTGGGTGCTGCAAGCCTGGGCACGGCCTACTCGACGACCCAGCATGCTTGCACTGCAGTGCTTCCTCTCCAGCTCTTCCAAACAATCTATGACCAACAGCAAAAGCTATGGACTCACGTGATGATCTCCACACTTTGGCCACGTTTGCTGCCCAGATCGAAAACGCAGGCAAATGCAGCTCTACCGAAGTGCTTCACACTCCGGTGAGCCACCTCCAGGCCATTGCCGTGGTGCCTTCAGCCTACATGCACATTAGCAAATCCCCTCGAAGGGGCTATTCTTCTTGCCGAGGCAGCACAACAGCCCAAGAACAGAAGAACGCTCCCCACAGCACTGATTGCCATACCGACAGGAACCTGGGCACGCGATTTGCAAAGCAGTCTCGGACCCAGAGCCGAATATACTGCCTGCTGTTTAACTTGTTATGTTTGCTAACATCATTATTACTTGTAATTGTTATTTCTATTATTATTACTACTATTACTACTACTACTACTATTATTATTATTTGTTATTTGTTATTACTACTAGCAGGTATTATTATCATTGACGTGGGCAAGGCTCAAAGGCAATCAACGGTGCTTGTGGGTGGCCTTTGCCCCAGTAATCGTACCTGTCCACGACCTTGGAATCCGCATGGCAGGAAAGACGGTGCAGCATGTTATGCCAATGACTCATTTTCAGGAGCCAGTCCAGACAAGTCCCAGGCCCACGTGGCTTGGCCAGAGGTCACCGTGTAAGTACCAAACTCCTGGCGTTGGTGATCATGTTGCGGAACACAAGCAGCATGGCAGAAGGTTTTTGGGAGTGGACGGGAAAGCTTCAAATGCCAAAGCTGACCGAACACAACAAACCGTTTTGCCGAAGTCAACGCCCAGATGCTCGATTAAGTTCGACATGTCCGGTTTTCTCCAACTGTGGTTGGGAAATGCTATGCACGCCGCACCAAAATGTGACGTCGTTTCCGCTTGGCGATATGATGTGCAAGGTGCGGCAATGCTCTGTGCCGTTGGTGCCCCACTCGCGGAAGAAAGTGAAGCCAATACGCGGCTCAACGGCCGTGAGCGTAAAGTTTTCTTGGCCATCGATCAAGACCTCACCTGGCGATCCTAACTGGATGAAGAAAAGTGTAATCAACACCAGACATGTCAGAAGGCCGGCCGCCACCAGGCACGCACCAGCGTACAAGAGCTTCTTGGCGCAGGTAGGCATGAGCAGGTAACTATTACAAGAGGCAAACGAATGAGGGGAGGGAGCGAGCGAGGGGGGGAGATGGAGGGAGGGAGGGAGGGAGCAGGGAGGGACGCAGGACCTTGCAGGAAAGGCATACTCCTGGATAAATGGCCCATTTCGGGAGTCACCCCTCTTTACAACTGCTTGCCTGTCGGCAAACACCCATGCAAGAAAAACTATATGCAACAAGATGTTTTCCCTATAACCCTATAGCCCTAAACCCTACACCCCTAAACCCCTATAACCCTTTTGGCTTAAGGTCTATGGGAAGGCAGGGAGGCATCTTGAGCCTGACGAACTCCGGCCGCTGCTAACCTCCTGAGACTTCACCTGCCTCCCACCTGCTTCCCTGTTGGGGCCATCCTAAAATTATCATATGTTTTAATCCTTATGAGGGTTCTATTATAAGAAAAATGTAAGACTTGTATCCAACGAGGACCCAGCCGCGCCCACACAAAGTCCAAGGGAAATACCGGCAATGATTAACACAACACTCAGATCCTTTCGGGACGAATGCTGGCTCGGTCAGGAGTAGCAAGTGTTAAGATCTATTGCCGAGGCTCAACCGGAAGTCAGGTTTCGGTTTGCAAGTTTGCCATCTTGCCTGGTCTGCTTGCCATCTGGCTGCTCAAGTTTCAGCACTCTCCAACTCAGCCTCACAAGTTAAGAATTTGTTCTGCTCAGACAGCAGACATTGACCCGAAGTAAATATAGCTGCAATCTAGCTAACTGCTACATCGGAGGAGTAGTGTGCCGCTCCACAACTCGTCGATCCACTACTGCAACGTCTGATCTCATGCGCGCGGTTGTTCACTGCTCTGTCATACACATACTGCCAAACTAAGTCAAACTAGTGTCTACGCCCGAAAGAGTCTCTTTTCCACCATGATGGCCATTATCCTTTCACAGTGCATGCGTGCAACAGCCTCAAGCTCCTGCAGTTCTCACGAAATGACGGCACTATAGGCTGGATTCCTCTGCAGCAGTGTGAGTATTGAGGCTGAAAGCAGCAAGCATAATCATTGTAAGATTCAAACTCTGCTTCACAATGCACTCAGTGCTTGCACCCAGGAGAAGTGAGGTACCTTCACCCAGGCTAATCCCACTTTGGGGGCTGGGAACCACTGTCTATGCAATAATTGGTGAATTCGAAACGAAGCCTGTAACCGTCGCTCTGCTGAAGTTTCTATCTCTTCCTGGGCAATCTCAGCCGTTTGCTTCCTTCGCCGTGTGCTAGATCGAGACGCAGCATGCGAACACCGAGGGTTGCTCCTCATTGACGGTTTCCTGGTGAGGATCTCGCACAAACACGTCCGAGGACTCCGCCTGCGCAACGGGAACAGCCATTCAAAACCAACTAGCATATATTAGATAACACAGAGCATATAACATACAACCACCTAAACAATAGTATCTTATAATACAACATAATATAATACAGTACACATATAGTCAAATATAATACAGCATAATGAGGCATCACAAAATTCACACATGCATACATGTACATATATATATATACACATGTATGTATATATATATGTATGTATACAACATGATAAAAACAGATAGATAGGTAGCCAAATAGATAGGCAGATCGATAGTCGAAGGCTGCATGCAACCCCAAGATGCTTTGCATCAACGTACAAAACCCCATGCAGGGCCTGGATACCTGGAACTCTCATGTCCGTGTGCGGGCTTTCGACGTCTTCCATCTCCGAAGTCCCGGTGGATGTCGATGCTTTTGACTGCGAAGCCAGGTTGATGGGGCAAGCTTTGGCATCAAGTTCCACCGATTTGCTGCCGCAGCACCCCATGGGAAAGCAGGCCCAAGAAGGGGGCTGCAGGTGCTAGACACAGGTTTCTGAAACCTGCTGAGCCTGGACAAAGATGGCTCGGAGGCACGTAACGAAGATGATGACAAGACAAAACAAACAAACACTGCCTTACTTCTGAAAGAGTCTACCCATTCCTGGTTGCGACCTCAGTTCTGCATATCTTGAAATACTGCTGGGCAGCTGTCCCACGCAGGTGTTAATCAACGGTGAGCCTGATTTCCAAATCCCTTGCGGCATTGCACACGATATGCTCGCAACTTCAAGTTGTGGGTGAGACATGGACACTGAAATTGTTGCATGCAGGGTTTATCGTTCCTCCAGGGGCATTCTCCAGAGAGCAGACTCCCTGCGAAGATGTGCTCCAGTTTTGACGGGGATGACCCTTTGATGTCTACGGTAAGTCATTAAGCTGCATGACCAGACCTCCTGTCTCCCGAGAGACACGAGTGTCTCAATCTGCCGCGTCAGTAGTACACAGGCTCAAGGGTCTGGATTTCTTGCAGTGCCTCGGGTCACCAAGCTTCGCCAAAAATGCAACGGCAAATCTTGGAACATGGTAGGAACTTACGCTGCGGATACCCTGCCGGCCAGGCTGCAGTAATTATGCAGTATTCCTTATTTATGAGGCCATTTGCGGGGGGACTTGTCATAAAGGAGCTCAGAGTCGCAAAGTTGTCGAAGTAGGCCAGGTGCCATCCTCGGTGCTGCTCAAGGGAGCAGAAAGCAAAGAGCTCATGGCAGGAGGCTAATGGAGAAACCCTTGGTTGTAAATCATCTGGATGCCATATTAAGAACCACGGAGTTCTCAAGTCAGATTCCTACATACGAGTATTCATGTTCAGTCTGACTGGGCCAGGGAACCCCAGTGAACCGGGAACCAGCGGCCATTGTCTTATCAGAGCACACTGTATCCGCTTGAACGAAGAATTTGCCTCAACATTCGTTTTAGATGGATCCTGCATATGGTTGTAAGTTAAAGTGTATGGCTTAGATATCAGCATTTGTCTCTGCATGCTCTAGGTATCTGAGCATCCTGCCGGAAAGAAGCGCAGCTGCGCCGATAGTGTGATCAGAGTCGATGGAGACCACCTTAAAGCCGAGATGTAAGGCAGGGTTTGTTAGAAGGTTGGGTTGAACCCTTTTTACAGCTGGGCTCTGAGTTGAACCCTAAACCCTAAATTGCTCATACTGATCTCACGAGTAACACGATCAACCTCACGCCAAGCACTTCTCAGCTTCACGCCTCCTCAGTGTCGTCAACTCTCACCTGCTGTGCCGAACTCGGCATGCGGGATCACCGCCGGGGGTGTTGCTCTCGAAATATAGGCGCGGAGGGCTTGAAAGACACGTGGGTTTATAGGCTTTCAGTCTAGCAGCGTGTGGAGTGCGGAGCCTATTTACGCCAAGGGTTGAATACTGCAGGCCTGAGGAGGGAATGCCGCCTGCTTTGGGAAGAGCAATGCGTTGAATTGGGATTTGACACTTCTGCCTCGGAAGCTGCCAAGCAATGCAAACGGCCGGCTGTCCTGTTTGTGCTAGTTATTTCCAAATTCTCAGCGAATATGGGCAAAGAAAGCTCGAACTCATCAACTCTGAACTTTGGCTGGTTAACTACGCGCGACGATTCGTTTGCAGCCAAGTGTCTCGAATGCGTGTGCCGTGACAGGCGAGTCCTTGTTTGGCATTCTACACCCTGGAGAGAAAGTAAACAGGCTCTCGTTTGCCCGCCAACCAAACTGCACGCGCCCTGCAACAACCTGAACGATATCTTCCATCTCCTCACTAACAAAACGAGCAAGGTTCTCGTGCCTGCGACACGCTTCTGGCACGGATCTAAATTTTCAACCCCTCCACTCTTATTTCAAGCACATTCTCCTCCAACTCCCAAGGTGTACAGACCCCATCTACCCGGAGCCCGAGATCGGGCACCCAAGCCCAGCTAAGACCTGAAGCCCTTCAGGCACAGTAGACTCGGTAGACCATTGAGGTCCAGTGGCTGAGGCGGTGCCAAACGCCCAGAGGCGCCGGCAACTTGCCGCTGGCAAGGATGGTGGCATTGGAGCCACCTGCTGGAGCATGTCTTAGTGTTCTGGTCTTGCGGATGTGCGTGAGGGCTGAGGGCTGAAGGGAAGCTGCCGGCGTTGGGATGCGTGTGTGTGTGTGTGTACTAGGTCGTAGGCTGAGGGTTGTCACTGACCGAGCTCATAAGCCACAACAACTTAGATTCTTACGGCTCGTGCAATGTATGATGATAACACACGCCTCCGTGGTTTAGGCCAGGTTCTTTGGGGAAGCTGTAGCTACCTTTTTTCTGTCGGCATGAGCACGTGTCGACATGCCCCTTCCATGCCATGCCATATAGCGCGTACCATACGTACCAAACCGTACGATCCCATACCGTGCCATACCATACCATACACTGCCATGCCCCACCATGCCATACAATACCACAGCATATGATAACAGACGATACGACACAAGACGCTGCATTACAATACGACACAACAACACAATATCACACAAATTCAATACAATATAACTTGGGTACTGCCCCGGCCCACCATGTAGCGGCCTTTGTTAGACTACAAATAGCGGTCATGTTGAGGGACATACATAAAAATCAGAAATATATATATATATATGTATAAAGCAGCTGTTACAGAGTGGGGGCAGTACCCCAAATACTGTACAATGCAATTCAGCAAGATACAATACAGTTCAATGCACATATAGTACTTGCACCCACATCTACGTAAATACATACATGCATACATCAAAAACTCATACATACACCTACGTACATCTATCCATCCGTGCACGCATGCCTACATACATTACACTGACATACACTCCTCATATGGAAACACGTGCATACTGCATACGTGCATACAAGCACACGAGTACATATCTGCTCGCTTGCTCGAAATCCAGGTAACAGTACATTGCAATACATCACTACAGTGTTACAGCAACACCTCGGAGCTTGCATGCATACAAAGATAGGTGCATACATACAAGCAAACATACGCACAGTCATATGTACCTACAGACCTGTGCACACATACATGCATACGTGCATGCATACACCCATGCATGCATACAAGCCTGAATGCACACATGCACACAAACAAACATATTGTT